CTATTCTTGTGATGACTTGCTCTTTGAATCACGCTGCTCAGGATGGTTCCTGATTCCTTTAACATTTCTCACCTGACATTACTCTTTCTCCTTTGTTATTGTTTTTTTTTGGCATCAGGTGGAACCTGCTTCCTCTTAATCACCAGGATGTCTTCCTGAGAAAATAAATACATACGATGTTTGCCTTTGCATCTAAAGATGTTTTGCTATAAGCTGATAGTAGCAGCTACTTGGAAAGTCAGAATGATGCCTTCTTCTAGACTTCAAGATTTGTCCCTTTGTGTTTGATGCCTGGGGGAGACCCAAGGCTGATAAAGTAATCATTCATTCTTTACTTCATTCATTTTCTCCACTGATCCCTCTTTTCTCAGGATCTATAGAGGTATTGGTCAACTCTTCTCTTGGGTGACCTACAATTCACAAAAACCCTCCAACTTTTGGTTGGTCACTAAGTTCTGTTGATTTTCTGCCTTTTGAATCTCTCCTCTCTTTTCCATTCCACAACCACTGACTGCTCTAGTATGGAGCCTCTTTATGTCATATTAACGCTATTCCAGTATACTCCTAAGTACTCACCCTCCAGTCTCTGTCTTCCATACACAGGCCTCTCCCTGCTGCCTACCATCTTTCTTAATGTAAATCTGATCATGTTACTGAGTGCTTACAAACTTTGAATAGCTCATCGCCTACAATCAAGTCTTATACAAGGCCATGGGCACTCTGACCCCATTGTATTTTGTCTCTGGCCATTCCCATGTCAGTTCAAACTGAACTGGCATTTCCCAGGCCCTCTGACCAACCCCACTGTTTCCTCTAGCTCTTAGTTTGGAATGCCCTTACCTTTTCCTCCTCATTTTTTACCACCAGCTCCCATGCCACCTTCTGTGGGAAGCTTTTCCTGTCCATCCTGTTTGCAGCAGCAGCAGCTTGTCTTCTGCCACCATAATGGTCTGGACATGTCTCAAGTCTGGCCCCATCCCAGCATGGAAGGTGACTTGTCAAGTTCACAGATGCTGAATCCATCTTGCTTGGGGTAGAAATTTAGTTCCATGGACCAGTTACTTTACCTCCCTGTGAGTCTATTTTCTCATTATACAAAAGAGGAGACAAAATAGTTCCTACCTTCCTCATCAAGTCGTCGTGGTGATTAAATGTATTGATACATTTTTAAGCTTTTTGAAGACAGTATGTGCCATGTAAGTGTTAGCTATAATTTTACTTGCTAAGTGCATATCTCTGTTTCCAAATTGATCATTAACTCCTAGGGAGCAGGGGCTGTCTTACTTGTCTCTGTGTTCCCAGTGCCCAGCATAGAGTAGGAGCTTGGTATATATTCGTTCAATGAATTGTCTCATTGCAACTCTGCCAGTGGCTTGTTTTTTCATTGGGTTAAATGATGAGCTAACAGAACTATTTTCAAGTTTGTATTCCCCAGGTTGGGTTGGCAGCATGATCCAGCCCCTGTGTCTAGACAGGCTTATAAAAGCTGTGTATCTGGGTGACTAGGCTGGGGTATTGGGTTCCTCTCAGTCTGCCTCCCTTATCTCTATGCCTTGTTCCTTGTTTCTCGGATTCTCTGTGAATGTGGGGTGTTTCTTGTTCTACTTTATCCAAAGGGGTTTTGTAATTCAATACACTTGTCCTTGGTTAGAAATGTGTCCTTTCTCCATTGTGAAAGTTTGGTCTGCTTGGCATTCAGGATGGGAGAATATGCCAAGACATTGGGATGTTGTCACAGCCAAATGGAAGAGGAAGAAATAGAAGCTTCAGAGACATAGAAGTGAAGACGGCAGAAAATACCAAGAAGCCTGGCATCGCTCAGGCTCGCCTACTCTGTGCTCTCATCCAGCAATTCAACTTCTGATTCTTTCTGCCAAGAAATAGTGATAGTCTTTGTTGCTCAGGATTTTGCTGGAGAAATGAGTCCCATCAGAAGCGCTTTAACTAAAAATGCCAATAGAGTTTGGAAAGAGTTAAGAGAAAGCAAGAAAGGCAATCCAGAAAGCAGAGGACTAGAGGATAAGAAAGAGAATTCTAGGAATTGGAATGGGAGAAGGAGTTCCAGTACCATAATAGATCACAAGAAAATGAAGGGAATTTGTACAGACAGCTGAAACTTTTTGCACACCTCTGCTTCAGCAGAGGAATTTAGGACAGCACCGAGGCCCATGTGGCTATTACTGTGGGTAGGAAAGGATGACAGCTAAGATGGTTTTGTCATAGCTCTTGTTTTCCTGCAGCCCAGACTCTGGCAACCCATCATTACCAACGCTCAGGGAGTGCCTAGAGTGAATGTGGCATATTGAAAGGGAACATGGTGACTTTTGACACCAGAACCCTACCCCTGTCCTGCCTCTGCCTGCTTCCCCACTCTCTGACCCTGGAGGACTTCTGGCTGGGGCAGAAGTTCTCAGCCTTTGATTCCTCTTTCATAAAAGCATCACTCCTTTTAAATTTTCTTCTCGAAGAACTATTCATAGAAACAAGTAACTGTGACGTCATGTTTTACTTTATCCTCTCCCTTCTAGGTCCACCTTCCCATTGATTTCTCAGTCCTACTTGTGTCCCCATTTTCTTTCTTTCCCATCTTTCCTTCTTTCCGAGGCTCCCCATACTCCTCTCTCTTGCAGTTCTTTGTGATCTCAACTTCCTAGGATTGGCCAGGTAGGGAAGAACAGTGGCATAAGCCAGAGCCTGGCATCTGCCTGGTCATACCACCCACAGCCTTTGGTGACTGACAGCCAGTTTGGGGAAACTGACCTGGCTGAGACAGTCCTGGGGCTCTGGCTGCTTCTGCCAACAAAGTGCTTGGAGACCCTAGCCCAGCCTAGAAGCTGGTTGGCAAGGATCTAAGTTTCTGTTTCGTTTGACTGTGAGTACATTGAAATCTTGCTCTGTTCTATCATTTCTTCACTCATTCAACATTTAGGGCACCTGCCTCATGTCAATTACCTGCTCTAGATATTGGGCTGGTGGATATGTAAACAAAATGCCCTCTACATAGGGCTCCCAAGCTGGTGGGAGAACTTTTGTAAAGAACTATAATGCAACATGAAAAAGATTACATGAGTGATATGAAGAAGGCTTGGGTGGATGGAAGGAAAATGTACCCAGGGACCACCCTTCCTCTCAGATGTTTACTCCATCTGGGGTGGTCACTTGTGTGGTCACCATGATTTAAGTAAACATCCATCGTACCAGGTTCTTTTGACTTTGTCTAAACAACAGCCCATTTCCTTTCTCCTCAGGCCAACAAACAAAACAGCAATAGCCTCTCTCTACTGAGATAACTATGCAGATGCCTCTCAGGCTGGTGGCTTTCATCAGCCACATTTTGACCCAGTTTTCAATCTTCCAAAGCAGGGGGCTGTGTGGGAAATCAAATGGGTCTCTCACGAATGACCTCTCTTTGGAAGGGGTGGTGGATGGAAGATGCAGAGAGGGGCCTAGAAGAAAGCAGAAGGTCTGGAGTTAGACCAGACATCTAGACCCAGCTGACTTTACCTAATGTTTCTGGCCTTAGTTTCCTCATTTGCAAAATGGGGGTGATGACAATGAACACCTTGTAGGGTCATTGTGAAAACTGGATGAAAAAATACATATTAAAAAACACTTAGAGCACAGGCCTGGCTGCAGGCAGGATGATGGTGGGGATGGTGAAGCAGGGGCTCTGTGACTTGAGGAGTCACTTCTATACACTGGCCTCAATTTCCTCATCTGCAAAAGGAGTGGGTTCCATAGGATCACCCATAATTCTATCTGGAGCCATTTCTTCAGCACAGGGGGCATTCAGGGAAGGGCAAGGTCTGGCCCTCACCCTCCAGAAGGAAAGGGGACAGGCACACATAGATGACTCTGACAGAAGATGTGGTCCCCCAGTGGGTGCTAAGTTCCTGAGCCCGAGCTCCTGGTGAACTTGGTGAGGAGGCAGTGCTTGAACTGGGCTTTGAAGGACCAGTAGACAGACACTGTGGCTTCCTTTGCTGAAAAACTCTTTGTCCTCAGGATAAAGACCACAGCCTCTAGGTGAGTACGCAGGTCCCTCACTCCCTGGCCTCAGCATCCTCCTGCTGCTTCTTCACCATTTGTGCATGTACTGTGATCCTTCCAGTTCCTGAGACCTGTATCCTGTCCCTGCCTCCCTCCCTTCTTTGCACCTACCAGTTCTTTTGGCCTGGAACACCTTCCTAGAAGATAGTGGAGGGGACAAGCAAGACACTAGGGTCATACTGGGGGTTCACATCTTAGCTTGCCCTGGATGGCTGGTGGATCCTTGCTATGTTACTCAGCCCCTTGGTGAACCAGTGTCCTTACGTGCAAAATGGGGATACAAGATGACAATAGCGCTTACCTCAAAGGATGCCTGTATGGATTAAATGAAGTAACACATGCAAAGTGCTCGCTGGCCAGGCCCACGGTCGTTGCATAACTACAGTTGTGACGAGCACTTTATGTCTGACCTATTCGTACCTTCTTGCATTTCAGGTCCTAGCTTAGTCATCACATCCTCATCACCTGTTCTGGCTCAGAGGGCAGCGTGTGCTCCTTAAAATACACGGTTTCCCCTCTCCTCCACAGTGTCAGCCCACCAGACGGCAAACTCCAGTAGGCCAAGACTCAGCCAATTGTGTTGGCTGCAGGAAAGAACACATGATAGGCACTCAGTAAAAACTGAATGAATGACACAGGAATAAGGTCCATTGATCCGAGGGTGCCGCAAGGGGGATCAGCCCAGGAGACTGAACGGGCATGTGGACTACGACTCTGCGGACGGCAGAGCGAGTATGGGCGTCCAAGATGTCCAGGGCCCCTTCCCACCTGGGGACCGAAGGCGTAGCGCGGTGGGAGAAGATGGCACTTAACTTCGGCCGGGTCTGGGCCCTGGGGAGAAAATGCAGTCTGACGGGTCAGACAAGCGCTCTCGGCCCCGCCCCAGCCCCGGCCCGGCCCCTCCCCGGCCAGGGCCCCGCCCCCAGACCCGCCCCCTCCAGCTCCCGCGACTGCTGCAGCCAGTGGCCCAGGCGGTCCCGCGTCGCCCCCGCACAGGACAGGCCCCTCACGTTTATTCGGCCCGGAGGAGCGCCGGGATCCAGCCTGCTAGTGGCCACCGCTGAGGGATGCTGCGCTCCACGTCCACGGTCACCCTGCTTTCGGGTGGCGGCTCCCGGACGCCCGGGGCGCCCAGCCGGAGGGTGAGTAGCTGGAGGGGGAGCCGCCGCCTTGTTGGAGTCGTTCTCCCCTCCGGTGGGCCCCCTCTGTCGAAGTCTAAGGACGGGGACTCGCGGGAGCCAGCCACTTTCTGGCTGTGACCCTTCCTCTCTAAGTCACAGGGGCGCCCCACTGGCTGGAAGGAGAGGGCTTAGGGGATTTTATGGAATTCCCAGAAATTTCCTCTCCTTCCTGCCTTCTCTATCAAGCCAAGTTTATTGGTGGCACCAGTTTAAAAAGCAAGGAAGACATTTCTGCCGTGTCCTTACCTTGAGACCCCAAAGTAATGGATGTATTTAAAACCCAAACTTTCCTTCGGGGTCACTTGTTTGAACTGATCATAGAATAACACTGATTCTGTAGTAGGTTTAGCTAAGGTGGGGCACCACTTTGCAAGCTAGGGGTCAGCTGGCGGTCCAGGAGCCCAGTTCTGTAGGACTCTGGCTTATGCAAACCACTCACTTTCTGTTTTCTGATTTAAATACTAGCACAGTGGTAGCCCTGAGACTCCGGGCACCATTTCCAGGGAAGGTCGCCCTTGGGGAGCAGGGTTTTTCTGCATTCGCAGTTGCATCTTTTCTCACCTCTCCAGATGTTCTGTGAAGGGAATGCTAGGCGTCCGCAGGTTGTGCCTTTCACACTCCGTGTTTCTTCCAGGATCAGGCTTAAGAGACACAGCTGAGGACTTGGTGTATGGCTTTTAAATTCTTCCACTTATCATGATGTTCAATACTTATTATTTGGTACTGTGATTGAGACTTTGGTGATCACGTTTCCCCACGCTTAGCTAAACAGGTGGTTAAGTCCAAATCAAAACCTTTTGGTACTCCCATCTGTTTGCTGGTCTTGGATATACTTATTTGCTTTTATATTCCTCAAGCAAGTGATGGGGGCCACCTCATAAGCTGTCTTTCTTTAGCTCTAGAAACAGGGGTGTCCAACCTGCAGCCTATGGGCCCATGTGAATTATTTGAGGCCTGTTTTGCTTATCAAATGGTGTCAGATATCATGAAAATTATGCAAGGAGTTTTTTTGCTCATTAGTTTTTTAGTGTTTGTGTTTTAAATTCATAGCCCAAGACAACTTTTTCAGTGTGTGGCAGAAAAAAAAAAAAAGGTGGGATATCCCTGCATCTAGAAAGGTGTTGTGTTACTCTTAGGTATGGGCCAAGTGATGGGTTCTGGAGGTAGTGTGTGTGCACATACACACTAGACACTTAAGGGAGATGGAACTCCAGTGGTCCAATCACTAACTTCATAGAGTAAGATCCACATTAGGTCCAACTGGGTTTCCAGGCATAGTCCCAGCCTTACTCCATGAAGGGATTTGCATTTTTCTATACAAATCTGCCTCCATTGCAACACAATTGCCATTGAGAAAGAATGAAATTACTGAAAAGCTAGCCCTGAGCCCAGATAGGGTCACAAATGTGATCTGATTACTTGCATTGCACAAAATTCTGTAAGTTCCCCTCCAGAGGTGGGGACTGTTTGGGGTGGCTAACATAATATTATGGGTGGGTTTAAATGTGACTACTATATACCAGATAACATTTAGGAAGATTTTTCTAATAAAATATTTACTTTGGAGTATTTATTTTAATTATGAGTGCTTTGGTGTCTGGCACACAGTGACACACTATTGACATACTTTGCCTTTATTTATTTTTTGAGATCCTATCTCACTCTGTCACTCTGGGTAGAGTGCTGTGACATCACCATAGCTCACAGCAACCTCAAGCTCCTGGGCTCAAGTGATCCTCTTGCCTCAGCCTCCCTATTAGCTGGCATTATAGGTGCCCCCAACCATATCCAGCTAGTTTTTCTGTTTTTAGTAGAGTCTGGGTTTCTATCTTGCTCAGGCTGGTCTTGAACTCCTGAGCTCCAGCAATCCACCCGGCTCAGCCTCTAGAGTGCTAGGATTACAGGTGTGAGCCACCGTGCAAAGCCAGGCTTTGCTTTTTGAATAAGATGGCAGAACTACTTTGGACTGGAGGACTCTGGGCTCTGAATCAGACTGTGCCGGGCTGTCCACTTTTTCTTGTAAGAAGATATCTAAAGGTTCTAGTGTTCTCTCTATCCTTACAGTTTCCAACTCTGCTCATGATCTGTAGATGTCACAGTTACTTACTATCTGTGTAGGGGGAGGCATGATGGGAAGCTGTGATCCATTGGTTAATTGGTTTATTAAACATTCACAGATCTCGTTCTGTGAGGCAGGGCTGGGTATGGGAGTCCACTCTGCTTGTGGAGGCAGACATTGTCCCAAACTATCATCATACAAAGTGATAATGGTTATGGTGGCCTGCAGGGTTTATAGCTATCACTGCAGGTGATGTTTGAGTTTAATCTTGTGGGGTAAGTAGAATTTGTAGGGGAATTGACATTATTGGTATTAAAAGGAGGAAATATTCATATGGAGTACTTAGCATATACAGTCATGTGCCCCATAATGACGTTTTGGTCTAAAATAGATGGCATATATGATGGCGGTCAGAGCAATAGGCTATCCTGTATGGTCTGGCTGTACTGTCTAGGTTTGTGTAAGTGTGCTCTATGATGTGTGGTCCTTGACAAAATCGCCTAACGATGTGTTTCTCAGAATGTAACCCTATTGTTAAGCGGCACGTGATTCCTGTATAATGATGGCATATTGGACCTGCTTTGGGACCAAAACGTTTATGTTTTAGCAAAACAAGAACAGGATGTCTTGAAAATAAAATTGTAGACCAAACAAACAATCATTAAAAGTGTTCCTGAAGTTTAAAGTTTTTCAATAAATACTACTGTTCTATCATTCCTCTCTGATGACAGACAAGTGATGGTTTTGGATAGTAACACGTTAGCCATGAAAAGTGTATTTCTGTTTCATGCGGAGAGCTTAGGGACGGCAGGGGAGACCAGGCTATGTGGCTCCAGACACTGAAGCCAACCAAAAATGGTGGTGACAGCTGACGGTGAGCAGGGCCCTCTCTGAGTCAGCTGCCAAGGGCAATGTGGTCAACCCAACGGTCCCCAGTTATCCTTTAGTTCAAGGCTGCCACCTGTAATTTGTATTTCCTTCTTATCTGAAATGATCTCTCAAGGAAAGAAAAAAAAAGCAGGTGCAGAGAGTAGTTTCTGTCAGCTGATAAACAAAGCCCTGAGAGGCATTTATGGATATCAACCAACAGGAGTTGTGAAATTGAAAAAAAAAAAATCTGCTTTCAAACCAGTTATGTACTCACTAAAAATAGTTTTATCTATGGCAACAGCAGGAAGATAAATTGGCTGGAGAATAACCACAGCCAGAATGATGACCTTAGGGAGTGGGGGGAGACCTTTTTCTAAAGCATTGACATTGTTTCAAGCTTTTGCCAGGAATTTCACAAATGCCAGTTAATCCGCTGAAGGAGCCTTTGAAATGAAAGGTCAGTTGTGTGGCCAGGTTGTGTCCTTGAGAGCTGTTAGGTGAAAGTGGTGAGGGAGGTGTGAGACCACAGACCTGTTGTGCTTTCTTGATAAGAAGAGACTATCGCCTGGTGTTGCTGGTATCAGGGCCCCTCAGTGGCACATAAAACAAAACAAAACAAAACCCAACAAGGTGTGGGATAGGATTATCTCCTAGCCTGTCCTTGCTGGTATTTCCTTCTATTCATATTTGGCAAAGGCTTTCCCTATTAGAAACTGTCCCATTTCTGTCTGATTGACTTGAAGCAATCCTCCTTAGCTGGCCTGTGGATGGGTCTGACAGGTTTTTGCTCCACTTCCCTCTCCCAGTAGACAGAAACATCTGTGCACATAAGCTCTCTATCATCCTCTAGGCTCTGAGGAGGGGACACAGGATGTTGAGGGACCTTGGTGTCTGGTGGAAGGAAGCTGGCTGCAGCTTCCACTGGGGGAGGGGAAATAGGTCCCACTGCACCCAGAAAACAGACTGGCTGCTCACCGGGATCCTCCTGAGCTAGCCCCCGGCAGGCCAAGCAGTGAGGTTTTGGAACCATGGCATCCTCAAGGCTTATACAAAAGTCTCTGACAGTAAAACATGGCAGTTGTAGGCTCAGAAAAAAATTGTCCCAAGCTCTATGCTTTTGTTTTTATATCTGGCCATGTCCCATGTAGGATGAACTGACCAGAGTTCAGGGGACTCTTAAGGAAATTTTATTTTCCCAAGATATTAAAGGAGACCCCCTAGGGGTTCGACCGAGGGCATGGAATGTGATATTGACCCATAATGTGTCTCCAGGGCCCTGGGTCGCTGTTGTAGTTTATCTGCGCTGTGCACCCACATCAGAACGAGAGACATGGGGTTGGTGCCACCACCATGCTCTAGTCACTGGGGAAACTCTTCCAAGTCAGTGAGCCTCGGAAGCTGTTGTCTAATTGAGTTCTAGGCCAGTGCATCCTAAGACAGCTTGCTTGAGGAGTTTAGGGCCTCTCCCTCCCCAGTCCTGGCAGGATAGGTGCTTAGGCAGAGGCAGGTCACCAAGGTCCTAAAGGAGCTACGTTAATATCCAAATGGCAGATAGCAAAACAGGAAGAGAAGCCTTGGGACGAAGCCAGCCCATTACCTCTGACCCACCTGGGCAGGAAACAGGTGACAAGTGCACGGGACTCCTGGCCCAAGTGGAGAGTTTGACAGTTCTGGGAAGTCCTCCAAATATTCCAGTTGCCTCATCCTGCCACACAGTTGGAGCCTCATTCTTTTGCTTAAGTCAGTGGTTCTCAACCCTGGGTTCACATAGAGTCCTTGGGTGCCCAGGCCTGAGCCCAGACCAATGAAAGGAGAACCTCTGAAAGTAGAGAGTAGTGTGAATATTTTTTACGAAGCTTCCCAGGTGATTCTAATGCATAGACAATGATAAGAATACTTCTTTAAGCATCACTCCTTCCTAACAGCTTTCTTGTAAAGGCAGACACTCCTGGGACAGGGTCTGGAAAGCTCCCTTGGGTCCTGTGGGATGGAGGGCAAGGTGGCAGTGAGGGCAGGGCTGGGGAGTCTTAAC